TGCTGTAAAATATCAGGCTACCCTGTGGTCACATGACCACATTTTGGACGCTTGGTAATGAGATCTCATTTATGTAACTGGTATTTATGACATTTTTTACCAGGTAATGGCTTTTGTTTGTTTATTTATATCCTGCTTTAATTATTTTTTATAAATAATTCAAGGTGGTGAACATACCTAATTCTTCTTCCTCCTCCTATTTTCCTACAACATAGGCCTGTGGGATAGGTTTGGCTATACACAGTGACTGGTCTAAAGCTACCCAGCTGGTTTTCATGTCTAAGTCAGTGCTAGAACTCAAAATTCTGCAGTTTCTAACCTGGTGCCTTAGCCACTTTTACATAACCATTTTCCCCCCAGCAAAAGCGCCCCTTTGGGATTTGCTTAATAAGTGTGGTTTGCTTAAGAAATTCCATACAAACAGTAAAAAAAATAAAGTCTGGTCATGTGGGTACCTTGACGTATGACTAAAATTCTGGTTCCAAATGTGGCTGTAAATCAAGGACTTTAAAATTAGGCAATAGCTATAATTATTCTTTCCAATCTTAGAGAAATTATGCAAAGGAGAATTAGGAATCTCCTATGTCTTTGTCTCTATTCATCTTGGATAACTTCCCCAGAATTGAGCAAACCAGGAATAAATTTTATGTGTGGGCAGAGAACCCCAGAAAAATAGATCAAGCTTAAGAACATACCAGATCAGATCAGGGGCTGCAGAGAAAAAAAAATCCACAAAGATTTTCCTAGTGCATCCCTATGGAAGGCTTCATTCTAAGACCTGCCTATTCCCTTCTTCCCTATCACATGACTATTATTGACACGTTGAAAGAATTGTTCTGAATATTTCCCCTAATTTATTTAATAGTTATAAATATATTTCAGTTTATACATATCCAGCAGTTGATTTATCAGCTATATAGCAACTGTTTTATAAAAACAATCTTTTCTCAGTTTTTTGTCTGTTGAACATAATATTCAAATTTGAATATCTACTGACACGATATGTAACATTATTTTTTTCCAGTCATCCAGAGTTCATATAACGAGAGCTGTGCTGGAACAGTTTCTGTCTTTTGCAAAATACCTTGATGGGCTCTCCCATGGAGCACCTCTACTAAAGCAATTATGCGACCATATCCTTTTTAATCCTGCTATTTGGATTCATACTCCTGCAAAGGTCAGTGAACCACACATTTTTACTACTGTATTATTAGTATTATTTGTATTTTCAAATTAATTAAAAACTAACGTATTTTTAATGCTTTATTTGCATCTTATATTTTTTCTTGTTTTATAATTAACTGTTTATTAATACAGTAATTACAGTAGAAGTAGTAGAAGGATATATATTTAATGAATGAATTATTAATAAAGGTGAGGAATGTGGAATTTTCTTATTATTTATGCTGGCAAAAGTTAAATTGTTTGGAAGTTACAATCAGAAAATAAACTTGAAAATGTAAAAACTAGACTATTTTTCCTACCCCACCTAACTCAAGTGTTTAGGTTAGTTGGAGCATCTTAGCTTGAGGTTCCTTCTATTACTAGAAGTATTCTTGTTTGCTTTTTACGTGGAATCTCTCCTGATAATATAAAGTTGGCCTCACTCAACTTTGTGTGACAGTGAATATACTTTTTTATTAAAATGTCTGGTAACAATGTTTTCTAGATAAAATGTTCCCCAAATACATTATTGCATTCATATATTTTGTTCTCAGTTTTTGATAGCACTTTCCATCATTTCTCACTTTTTAAAATTTAAAAAAAATCATCTTATTATTTAATACTGGGTTACTATGTTTATGTCATGGATATTAATAATCTTTCATTGTTTTGTCTACCTTGATTATTTACTTATCTATCATCAAATCTATAATTAAAACTTGGATAAATTAATATCATGTTTTCATGTTTTTTAGGTGCAATTATCACTATATACCTACTTGTCTGCTGAATTCATTGGTACTGCTACTATCTACAATACAATACGTAGAGTAGGAACAGTATTACAGCTAATGCACACATTAAAATATTACTACTGGGTGGTTAATCCTGCAGATAGCAGTGGAATTACTCCTAAAGGTTTGGGTAAGTATAAGAGAAAAGTGTATTATTTTCATATGAATGCTTATAAAATGCATGTTCACAGTTCAAAATATATGTGTCATTGTCATATAACAAGTCTATTTCAAGCTGATTTTGTACTTTAAATTATTTGTGGACCATTTTGAACAAAAAAAGTTTCTATCTGATAGTAAATTTTGTTGAATTCAATTGATTTTCTTCTAATAGGCCAGGATCTTGTTCTACTACACACATATGTTTTTTCTAACAGATAGTTCTCTACAATTTAATTTAGAGTCCTCTGTAATAGAAAAATAAGATGAAACAAGTAAGGAAAGATTCATGCTTTAAAATAATAATTGAACCTGTAATAGGCAAACAAATACCGTGTTAGCTTGATTTAAAAGTAGAAAGTTATCTGCATGTAGGATTTTCCTAAATGCATAACTAGTAAAATATTTATTTATGTATGTATTTATTTATGTATTTATGTATTTATTTATTTTTGTGTTCGCTAAGCTTAAATTGTGCAACTCTTTTGCATTTATTTCAGAAGGACCTCGGCCATCACAGAAGGAAATCATATCTCTGCGAGCATTCATGCTTCTATTTTTGAAGCAACTTATTTTGAAGGTAACTTAAGATTTAAAGATTAATGGGTACTGCCAGTTCTGAAAAAAGGGAATCAGATTCAGGTTGTTCTTTGTGGTCTCTATAAATCACAGATATGAATTTGTTCTTTGATCCCTGTTCAGGAATCTAAAACTGAACAATTATTGGTGTGAACTGCATGCATTGTAGAGTCCATGCTCAAATGAGAGCTTGTTTTTCTCATTTAGGTATTCTTGACCTGCCACAGCAGCTGGCACATGGGAGCATTTGCTGCTTCTTTTTTCTGAGAGAATGAAATTTAATCTAAACTTGATCTTTTTTCTTTTGAGTTATTCATTATTCTATTTAGAACTTTTCTGTCTCTCCTGTTAGTTTTTGTCTTGTCTTAATGAACTTAATTTTGATTTTTGCTTTTATATACTAGCATTTCTTTTTTTTTGAAGATGCTTTGTATTCCCCTTTCTCTATATTCTTCCTTTGCCTCTTGTTCCATTTGTGTTTTATTATGTTACCATTTGGAATCATTCTTCAGGGCATTGCACATTTTTAGAGGATACTTTTAAAATACTATATCTCTACAACCCAACTAATTCTATTATTGATTCTAAATCTTGAATAGTATGCTTTTCAACTCTAGTTTATCACATCCTTTGGCATTCTGACTATGCACATCTGTGAAGCTGCTAAGTTTGGAACTCCCCTATGATTTTTAAGAAAATGTAGAAAAAAATTGAGAAGAGACAGGCTTTCTCGATTTTCAAGCCATCTTCATCAAAGAAAGATTATCATATTCATTAGTATGAAGTTTGTGTTATGCTTTTGAAACTATATAAAGTGAATTCTGCTGTATTGGATACTATTATTGAACTTTAGCTGTATCTGTATGTCAAAGTTTAGTCATTCCAGTCAAATTGTATCTTTCCACCAATTTCTAAGTGAACATAAGTTACATAGCTCTATGTAATACAAAATGACTTATTTGTATAAATTTGAGCACATATTTACTATTTATGTTGGGTTATTTTCAGATTCAAAACAGGAAAAGTAGTAAATGCAGCATATACAAAAGTTTAGACATCCTTCTAGTCAATATTTTGTGACACTTCCTTTGGAAGAAATAAACATTTCCTGTAACCAGCTAAGAATCTGTATGTTATTTCTTTTGGACTTTCCCCCCATAATTTTCTTTGCAGAAGTCTTCCAGCTAGATAAATCTTTTTAGGATTCATTGCACGCACTGCATGTTTGAGATGAAACTGTAATTTTCAACAATATTCAAATCTTTTAATATTTCTTTCCTGATAAGCATATAATAGTTTAGCTGAGTTATATGTTTTGTTTTGGTGAAATGTCCAATCTACTGAAATTCACATAAAGTGATTTGAAGCAGTCATGCAGTGAAATGGCCCTGCCCTTTGTAATATGTAACTTTAACAGTTACATAGTTTTACACTGTGCAATTTGTAGGCTAAATTTCATACTCTTAAAAATGAAGTAAACTATTGACTGTGGGCAAAATAATACTATAAAGTTAATTGCTTTATAGAGCAACATTTTCATATGCCCCCAAAACCTTTAACAAATGATTTGGCCACAAAAACACAATTTGCCTGAAAACATATCATAATTACAAAGAATCTGAGAAGAAAATAGAAGAATGCAGTTTAGTTAATTTTTAATTTCTCTAGAACCTACATCAAATTATTTGATTGCAAGGAAAACAAATATATAAAACTCATGCCTCTAATTTTTATTAAAGATATGGAAGCTTTATTTTGCTATCAAACAGGAGTTGTATATCTTAGGGTCTGATGGTTTTATTCAAGTTGTTTATTCATTTCAATTCTATTTTTGGAGTTCACATTCTTAAAATCAGTAGTCAATGATTGTAATTCAGGCACTTGGCAACCATCTTGCATTTACAACAGTTGCATTATCTTGCAGTCAAGTGATTATGATTTGCAACTTTCTCAGCCAGCTTTCTCAGTCAACTGGGGAAGCCAGATTCACTTATTGACAGTGTGATTCACTTAACCATTAAGTGATTTGCTTAACAACAATGGAAAAAATTATCGTAAAATTGGGTCTGGTCATGGGATGACTTACTTAATGACCTTATTGCTTAGTGACAAAGTTCAGTCCCAATTGTGATAAGTCAAGGACTACCTGTATTTGGAAATGGCTCAGACATACACCTCCCCGATTCACTGGTATAAAAACTTTTCATTTTAATGTTTATAATATGACAGTTAAGTTATTAAAATGTAAACAAAATGTAAACAATTGATTTAATGGTTTATTGAATCAATTTCTGTAGGATCGAGGAGTAAAAGAAGATGAACTACAAAGTATACTGAATTACTTACTAACTATGCATGAGGTAAGCTGGTAATATATGAGATTGATTGATTGATAGATAGATAGATAGATAGATAGATAGATAGATAGATAGATAGATAGATAGATAGATAGATAGATAGATAGATAGATAGATAGATAGATTATAAGTTATAATCTATTATGTTCGCCACTCTGGGATCTTTCAAACTGAGGGTCTGAATATAAATCATTACACATAATGAAATATGAATTTAAAAAGTTCATAAAATAAATATTTTTCTAACATTATAATGTGTTATATAGGATGAAAATATTCATGATGTGCTTCAGTTACTAGTGGCTTTAATGTCTGAACATCCAGCATCTATGATACCTGCTTTTGATCAAAGAAACGGAATACGGTAAGATTAAGTAGAAACAATAATTCCATAACTCTCATTTTTCTGGTAGATGAATAGATTGGACAATGACAGTATGCTTATGAACAAGGGAGGGGATGTTGGCATTTAACATTGCTATACATTGAAAATACAATTCAAAATTGATAGAGAGATCAGTATTTAAACAAAAAAATGCCTTGTTTTCTATTACTGTATTTTGTTTTTGACATAATTTGCAAAGTCAAACTTTTTCAAAATATTGAGTGATCAGAACATTTAACATACCTACTTAGGTATTTCAAATTTAAAAAAAAACAATCATCACATCATAACAACAAAACTAACAGAATATTAAATTTATATACTGCCTTACTCCCATTGGTGGGATTCAGCTGGTTCACACCACTTCGACAGAACCGGTAGCTAATTTTTGTTGCCCAGGCCCAGAATGGACTTCCGGAAGCGACATCCACAGAGAGAACCAGTTGTTCACATATTTGAATCCCACCACTGCTTACTCCCAATGAATGTCGTACTTTGAGCCCAGCCACTCTTTGTAATGCATTGAAGCAATGTTCAGGCTTCTATGTTAACTTGTGGTAAAAGGGCATATCCAGGTCATATTGGTGTCCAAAGGCTCCATATTGCCTGTATTACTGTGTCGAGGCACTTGCCTACTACTATGTCATATGGTTCAAATAAAAAGAGGAGTAGTTGTGTTGTGGAAAAAACCACGATACTTACATCAGAAGACAAGACCACAAAGGGTTGGAGAAGACAGGTTTATTTGTGCACAATGGTTCAGAGCATTAGCATGACAGATTCTGAACACTGCGCTATTTCCAGCGTGTCATTCTTATACAGCTTGCCACCCATGCCTAACCCAATGGATGACTTCTTATCTACCTTTAACACACTAAAAGAGGGAAGTTCATGTCTTGAGACCTCACACATAGG